TGAATAAATTAAAGAATTATTGTAGTTAGTGTGTAGGATCCTATATAGGTAAATCGTCCTTTGATGTTCTACGTTCAAGTGTCCAATATTTAACACTGCACCTGTGACTATACGCTTTACTGTACACAAAGGATAAAGCAAAGATGAGAGCAACCTATGCGCTTGGCTAAAAAGTCGATTCCTTCAGCAATTGCACTTAGTTCATAAAGGACATTTAGGACTTGTTTTATAAAGGTTGCTGCAATTGATACTGTGTTCTATATACCTAGAAGTTTAGCTGAAGAGAATTGTTTGATAGAAATTTAAAATGGCATCTCACTGGCAACAATACAGCAATTAGTGTTAAAGGGGAATCAATGGTACTGTCTCGCTTAGTGAAAAACGTCATGTAATTCACTTTTCCCAGACATTTTCGGGCAAAGGGGCAAAAGAGTGAATTATTATCCTATCATACCTTCTCCTGAATGATTTATCACTTGAGATGTTCTCTTCACTAACCTGGAAAAGAAAACAATAATATTAGTAATTATTCAATTTCAGCGACGTACAATAAATAAAATTAGTTGACTCTTAGGCTCAATTATGAAATTATTACGTAACCTAAAATTCTTTCACCGAAGGGCTTTCTTTCCAGTGATTTATCGTTTAAATTAACGCAGTTTAATTTGGAAGAGGGAATGAACCGCGAATGTAAATACCGAACGGAAGGTAATTTAGGGGGAAAACGTTTGCTTTCAATATTTAGTTATTTTGTACGGAATATGTTGCGTTATTACTTCGTCCGGTTATAAATACACCCCGAGCATAAATTTGAAAAGTTGCATGCAATAACTTGAAGAAATTGGCGACGAGTCGCCGCTGTATACGATTTCTAGTTCGCAAACCCTATCGATTTGTAAAACAGAACAAAGCAAAGTTTTCTAGCATCATAGTGTAGATTTTATCTTAAGGCTTTAGAGAGATATTTATTTCATATCGAAATATAATGTATATAAATCGGTAAGTTGTGTAATGAACATCTGGTTGAAGTCATATCACCCTTGTATGATAATATACGATATACTTTTTGAGAAGTGGCAGTTTGAGCTGACTTGGCGACAAGTAAATATTTTCGCTGCGAAAATGGAACGTAAATGTTATTCACTTGATGGAAGTTAAATTTCTTATCCTTTAAGAAAGAGTTTTCTAATTTACTTTGAAAGGAATTTAGATCACTTGAAAGTCTACAAAGGAATTTGTAGAAGTGTTCAATTTATGTTGTCTTTTGCAAATAATGCTACAAGCGAGCACTTTTTCCTGATATATTTACAAAGAAGAGAAAGTAATAGTAAAATAAAAGCTCTCGAAACGCGCTCTTTTTTAAGGGGCGATTTTAAGGGATCTATCAGGAATCGTTGATTTCGTAAACCTTTTCGGACGTTATCTATTATCCAAATCTTCCTTTAATGACGAAGATGGGACAGATTTTAATTACATAAATGGCTCACATTCTTTGAAAGCGTAAAATAAATTGGAGTCGTGACACTTCTAGAAATAAACCTGGGATGTTACCGAATGCAGTGTGCTTTACAGGTTAGATTATACTCACGTCATGCGATTTCTTTGCCAAAAAGGTTTTTGTGGGGTTAATATAAGAAAAAAGTTTCTTATGTTTTCTTCTGTGATATGACGTGATGGATACCGTGTTATAACTTATAGATGTTTGAACACGCATTCTGTATTAATATATGGACCTTACAAATCATTACGCCCGTTCAGATTTCAGCAAGATTACGATCCTCTTTTATGCGTTTTATTTTACGGAAGATAAAATTTAACTCCTGATAGTTACGAATATAAATCTGTGTATGAATTTGGACTTTTAGGGGTAAATTCAAAGGGCGCATTTACACAAACTGTTTTGTTTTGTAGACTTATACATTGGTATTTCATATTGCTGATGACAGTTTCAGTGTCAGTGAGGAAGGATAATAGCTTTATGATGGTACTGGCATACACAAATCACGAATGAATTTTAAGACTAGGACCTGAATTTATTGTAAAATAGAGGACACGTTCATTGTATTATCGACGCGTTTTCGCCGTTTCCCTGCCTGTAGCAGCTGTACAAAGGAGTGGAAAAATTTAACTTTCGACAAAATTTCGTCTGCGTGTTTTTCATGATGAAAATATCGAAAGAAATTTTCTTTTTTTTCATGTATAGTTCAGAACAAAACTGGCGAACAGTTTTTAAATATAATTTTTCATATGAAAGATCCTCACTCCTAAAAGTGGTCACGCATGCGTAAAATTCATGGAGTAATTTGGTATGACGTGTTTTTTGCGTTGGAAAATTTGAAATCATTGGAGTTTTCGTGTCAGTTCAAGGTTTGCAGATGTGACATAGTTTCAAAAACTCAGGTTGATAGTTCTTTTTATGTTCAAAGATCTCCATCAGACATCAAATTTTGTTTACAATATCGGAACACATTAAAAAAATCTACGTTATGAATAACCTGCCCGAAATGGAAATTCAAAAATTCCAGAACCGCTGAAACGTTTGGGTTAAAAATGTCACGGTGTTTCATTAAACAAAAATTCCACCACTTGGCATAAGCACTGTTATACTGGGCCAAGGTTGAGTCTGACAGCGACATTCAATCGCACCTGGTTTGAGCAACGCTTCCATGATAAAATCCCTGGGACCAGGGTAATTGATGAAGTAGAAACCAATTTCGAAAGAAAATTCAAAGGGCTGTAACTTTTGAACTAGTAGCCCAATCTTGGAGCTGTTTGAAATTATGGATTCTACAGGCCACATTCTATAAGAAAATTTTCTTTCCGGGTCGATCTGAGACAATTTTTTTTTTCGGGCCTCAAAAAAAGGCAGTGTATAAACCTTCCTTTTTTACCAAAATCGACTTCACCAAAATTTCTCGGGAAAACACTTTTTCTTATTAATTTTGGTGCGTAGAATCCAAAACAATTCGTACTTTTGCGATCAGACTTCTCAATCAAAAGTTATAGACTAGAAACCAATTTCGAAAAAAAATTCAAAGGGCTGTAACTTTTGAACTAGTAGCCCAATATTGGAACTGTTTGAAATTATGGATTCTACAGGCCACATTCTATAAGAAAATTTTTTTCCGGGTCGATCTGAGACAATTTTTTTTCGGGCTCAAAAAAAGGCAGTGTATAACCTTCCTTTTTTACCAAAAATCGACTACACCAAAATTTCTCGGGAAAACACTTTTTCTTATTAATTTTGGTGCGTAGAATCCAAAACAATTCGTACTTTTTCGATCAGACTTCTCAATCAAAAGTTATAGACTAGAAACCAATTTCGAAAGAAAATTCAAAGGGCTGTAACTTTTGAACTAGTAGCCCAATCTTGGAACTGTTTGAAATTATGGATTCTACAGGCCACATTCTATAAGAAAATTTTTTTCCGGGTCGATCTGAGACAATTTTTTTTTCGGGGCTCAAAAAAAGGCAGTGTATAACCTTCCTTTTTTACCAAAAATCGACTACACCAAAATTTCTCGGGAAAACACTTTTTCTTATTAATTTTGGTGCGTAGAATCCAAAACAATTCGTACTTTTTCGATCAGACTTCTCAATCAAAAGTTATAGACTAGAAACCAATTTCGAAAAAAAATTCAAAGGGCTGTAACTTTTGAACTAGTAGCCCAATCTTGGAACTGTTTGAAATTATGGATTCTACAGGCCACATTCTATAAGAAAATTTTTTTTCCGGGTCGATCTGAGACAATTTTTTTTTCGGGGCTCAAAAAAAGGCAGTGTATAACCTTCCTTTTTTACCAAAAATCGACTGCACCAAAATTTCTCGGGAAAACACTTTTTCTTATTAATTTTGGTGCGTAGAATCCAAAACAATTCGTACTTTTTCGATCAGACTTCTCAATCAAAAGTTATAGACTAGAAACCAATTTCGAAAAAAAATTCAAAGGGCTGTAACTTTTGAACTAGTAGCCCAATCTTGGAACTGTTTCAAATTATGGATTCTACAGGCCACATTCTATAAGAAAATTTTTTTCGGGTCGATCTGAGACAATTTTTTTGCGGGCCTCAAAAAAAGGCTTCCTTTTTTACCAAAAATCGACTACACCAAAATTTCTCGGGAAAACACTTTTTCTTATTAATTTTGGTGCGTAGAATCTAAAACGATTCGTACTTTTTCGATCGGACTTCTCAATCAAAAGTTATGGACTAGAATTACTAAATCCATATTAATTAGATCTACATTGGTATCTATTTGATCTTTAGAAAAAGAATATAATAACTGCGCATCGTCTGCATAAATGTTAGATACAAGTCGTTAAAGATGTATAAAGAAACGATGTGTAGATTGAATAAAGTAGAGGCCCGAGAACAGATCCTTGAGGTATACCGGATCGAACGAGCCCAAAAGTCAGAACTTGAAATGCTTATAAAAGAAGTAGGCAGTTAAATTAAAATTATCCTTTAATTAAAAAATCATAATACATTATTGAATTTTGGGGAAATGTTTCCAAACATCAGAAGAACATACCCATCAGAATTAATGCAGAAACATTTTGGTTATCTAGGTCTACAAATGTAAAATGCAAACAGTATGTAAATTATCTGTATAGCAAACAATTAACATTCTTGAAAGTAGGTTGCTAATTCGTAATCTGTTCCTTCTTTTTCGCCAAGTTTCGTTATTCAAATGGGTACAAGCGTTAGGGTCCCATGGAGAAGTTACAAACGATGCTTACAAAGTTATCTCCAACTTTTTGGCAACCTGGATACAATTCGTTGTTTGGAAATGCAATGCATAACGTTTCCTTCCCATAAAAAATACGTAATTAGGTATAATACCTACAATTCACCTGTCAGAAGTATCCAGAGGCTAGGGCGCAGCATCGAGAGCTATGGAGGACAAGGACTGTTGCGGACCAACCCTAGAGTTGATAACTAAAGAAGAAATCTGATAGATCAGACATGAAATTTTAACTAATTCTAGGCACTTATTAATATCCATTTCGGACTGACCATTTTTTCGGATTATTTATTTTCTCTTTTAATAATTATTTAATAGCATACATTTACGAAAGCTGGGAGGTCGTCACTTACATCATAAAAGTCCAGGTAACCTTGACAGCTTTTGCAGTTGCAGCAAAAGTTCGCCTAGTTCCTATTAACCTGTCACAGGAATCCAATTTGCCATATAATTGAAATTGAACACAACAGATTTTTCTAATGTTACTTGTTACATTAACCTAATGTCTAATATTAATAGTAATCACGCGTTGCATCCCTTGGGTTTGTCGTGGAATTGATCACAGGCCGTTTTTAAGAAATTACTGAAAGCTCCGTTTTGGTTCGCAGAACTGTATACACCATTAAACACTATCGTCGGTATGAAAGTGATCTTTGGCGTTACTGCATGTGTTTGAACGCCATTCTTAGCCAAAAGAATTTCACCTTCTCCACTGTTGGCGCATTGGAAAATCGCATCGCTCGTTAGTCCCAATTTTCCAGAACACTACAAACCATGGTCATTATGACGAGCAATGGTTAGTTGACAATGGGCTCACCTTTTCAATTGCGTCGTCACTACTGGGATCCCATTGGTTCATGACGCAATACACAAAGTCGACTTTTTGGGCCTGACTCTTGTCCGTAGCTAAACCGCACGCTTGCAATATATTACCGTGACATTCTGGCGGACCGTGTTGACATCTGAAGAACCATTTGCCATTTTCTTGGGTTTGCTGCAAGAAATTTGTTTTCAGTTTTGGTTACATCGGACTGAAGACAGAGCAGCAACATTCTTATGCGAACTGAGCAACGCCATTGATCGAAATTGATGCACTTCTTACCGATGCTTTTCCGTAAGGTACGAGATCCACTTCTAAATTGGACCCGATCAGTTTGTAAGCAGGTTGGAGCTGTTTAGTAATGAACTGGACGCTGTCAGAGCAAAGCGCTTCGTAATAAATGGACACTTGAAGCTTTTCGGATGAAACCTGTAATAAAAACAGGCTATTCTGACAGCTTTCAATTTCGATGATCTGTTTTTCCCATATAATAGGCACGGGAAAATCAAACCACATGTTAGAGAACGTAATTTTGGATCAATTTTTGAAGGGGGGAGGGGGTTAGACGAAAATTGCCCATGAATGCATTTTGGTCGTAATTTTGTGTTATTGAAAATTCTAAACGGATAAAAGTTAGATAAATGTTGTTAGGAGACCACTTATCGTAGTAGCTAATTAGCAATGGTGATGGGAGCGTTTCAGAAACCACGCGCCTGCATGGACGGAACGAATTTTTATACTATACCGAATAACAAACATTTTTTTACACTAATGAAGTAATATTTTAAACGAATTTTACGTAAACTACAATAAACTCTGTTGACCTTAACAAATCTAATCTGTCCACAGGCGAAAGTAACTAAAAATGTAGTACATTTCGGATGATTCCAAATTAATCCCCGGAAATAACGCATTTTTCGCATAATACAACACATAACTAATAACCCTCCCTTAAACAATCGCATAAACCATTAGGTATTATAGGTATAGTGAACATGGTAAACTTACTTGGAAAACGCCAGTCAAAAAAATAACGGAAAACAGTAAATTCATTATAACTGTATGTTGCAACGTCAACGTTTGGCGGAAAAATGTCAACTGATGTAAAACTCAAATAATATGTTATTCTCAGGTTTTCAATCGGGATTCCAGAGCTCTCACAAGTCACATAGTGCAATACTAGTTACTAATCTAAAATTTTGGAAGTGGAGGAAAATCCCTACATATATTTGGTAACTTTGTAAGTGTAATTAGTACGAAAGTGTGTAAGGTCACTGAGGATAATTAACGTTTAATGTACCTAGCTATAATTAGAAAATGCAGATTTCACAATGTTTATGCATATCAAATTTAACACTACCTATTGTTTCTGATAATGAAAAATTAATTGCCCTTTATTAATGACCGATATCCTAATCATGATCAATGTCCATGTTTTTATCTAATTAATGGCGATTAATATTCGATACAAGTACCTATAGGGCTACCTATCTACTATTGCATATCCTGTCGCATATATTATAATTTATAACGACTCATATTTGAGTGGAGATACTACAGAGTGTCACTACAATTACACCAGTATATGTACACCTTTATAGCAATTATTTCCAAATAATAGATTATGAGGCATTCGTCATCGGGGGAGCAGATCTAGAGCGATTTTCCAGTACTACCCCCCCCCCCCCCCCGAATTTATTGAAATAATATACCCAACATATACTTTAGGCATTAAAATTGTTGTCTTTTGTGTTTCCCAGAGGTGGATAATAGTATATTACGTAACGAGTGTTGAAAGCGATACTTTTCACACGAGTGTGAAAAGTGGCTTTCAAACGAGTCATGTACACTATTTTTCCTACGACTCTCCGCAGAATTTCCTTTCATAAAAAACACTCAATTTGATTCTAAAGTGCATTGTACCTACTATATGCAACAGTCAATTTTCCATTTCCTCGGGTGGAAAACATGATGCCAAAAACGTCTTTTACAAAAATAAAGGCAAAATAAAAAAAAATAATAAAAATAACCAAAAATCTACTTAAATAATGAAACAAAAGTTATTTTATTGCGAACCAACTACTAAAACTATCTAAAAATACGAAATAGATTCAATTTCTCTTTAACGAACTATTGTTAAGTATAATTACTTTAGCAGAGAGGTACTTGTCGTTTGGAGTTTCTGCAAGAAATTTACTAATATTATTAGACGTACGCTACTTTTCATACCTCAGCCGCAATTTAGTTGGTAGTAATTCGAGTGTAGTGGATTTTGCCTCTTCCCTAATGTTGGGTGGAGTACACTCTACATCTATGGAAGAATCACTTTTCACCATTAAAATTAACAATAATAATAATAATAATAACAATAACGCAAAAACCTTGACAGCACTACTAGCTCACAAAATACTGCAATATCTCCACCAAAAACCCAAGCAACCACACAAATACAACCTCAAGAACAAAGAAACACCACAAATACAAGTAACGCAACTTGCACTACAAAGACAGGTCCACCGAATAAAGTTACACGTCCTAGCACAGTTAAAAAACACAAATCTCCTTCTTCACATAAACACACCACGTTATCACAACCCACTCGTATTCAACCCAAACGCAAAGCCAAAGAAACACTTACACAATAAACTCTATTTAATAAAATTCCAGGAATTATTATAATGATATTTTTGTTTTGTTTTCTTCTTTCCTGATAGCGTTGACTAGTGGGGCCATTAATAGCTATGTTGGTAAGTATTGAATTACATACTATCTCTAGATTTCCAATGTGAGTGTGTGAATATTTATTTTATTTTTTATTTTTCTTTAGAACCCTACATAACTTCACCAGACACAGACACAGACACTAATCGTTACTTGATATTAATCCGTGCGATTAGTTAACCAGGCTAGACCTGAGTTCTCACAAGAAACACCGACAATAATAATATTTCTTTATTAAGGGGTAGGAAAAGCTTTGCAGCCATCAATCCCCCCTCTACAAGCTTACATAACAAGTGGCATTCTACACCAAAAAATACAATAATATAGCGATAGAAGAAAGCAAAACAAACAATAAAAGAAGAATGAAAGAGTAGTAAAGAATCTATCAAAAATTTGTGACATCATTTTTTATGATATTTAAACACACTCGAGTAAAAGTAAAAGTCTCTCCAATCAATTGTACACTCACTGGTAAATTGTTCCATAGTTTTGCCGCCTGCACATAAAACGATCTATATTCCACTTTTGTGTTAACTTTGGGTATACAAAGATTGTTGAAAACTTTGAAGAGTATTAAATTGTTCACATAAGTAAATTGGTTTTTTATTCACAATGATCAATTTATGTAAAAAGCACAGGATGTTAAATAAGCGCATCTTTTCCATATTCAGCATATTCAGATCAACAAGTGCTGGTGTTATACGAATTACGATCATATTTACGTATGTTGCAGACGTAACGGACACAATAATTTTGAACTTTTTGTATTTTAACGGATAGGCTTTTATTTAGTCCATGATAACACACATCGCCGTAGCTCAGTAAAGGTAATATTAGTTGTTTTATTAATTTTAGTTTAATTTCCTTTGATAGCGCGTCTTTAGATCTATATAAGTTTTTTAATTTATAGTACGATTTAGTTAGTATATAGTTCACATGCAGTTCCCAGCTCAAGTTTTGATCTAAAACCATACCTATGATCTTCATGTATGTATCATACTCAACTTTAGTTCCAGACACCTCTACTGTATGTGTTACTTCGGAGACAAATTTTTTAATTTGTCCAGTAGTACCTATCGGCATTAATACAGTTTTACAGGGGTTAAGCTTAAGGTGGTTTGCAGTTGCCCACTTGGTGATAATGTCTAGGTCTTCGTTCAAATCATCTATACGTTGATTAATAGTTTCAACACTGGCATGTATTAATAGCTGTATATCATCCGCGTAGAGGTGAACAGCAACATGTTGGAGAAAACGATGTAAGTCACTAACATATATATTGAACAACAATGGGCCCACAATACTTCCTTGAGGAACTCCACAGTCGACACGTAGCATATTTGAGATCAGTGTACCGTTAGGGGCGTTTATTTTAGTTTGTTGTGTTCTGTTCCTCAGGTAATTTTCAAGCCAGTTTGTGCTATATTTCGAAAACCCTAAGTATTTAATCTTACCTATTCAGAAGTCTGGTGTGGTTGACGGTATCAAAGGCTTTTGAAAAATCCAAAGAGCCTAGTAAAAATTAAGTAAGGAATTAAATGCGTAGCACAAGGGAATAAACTCAAGAATAAACTAATCGCAATTTTAGAATTTGACGTACATACGTCTACTACGTTGATGTTACAAGAAGATTAGACTACTACGAAAGCAAAACGTAACATGCGATTTGCTTTCTAATATATGGTAGATCTTATGAGAAAGCAAATCACACGGGTGCGTTTTGTTTTCCGTTACATTTTGCCATAAGTGAGCGAAATGGTCAATTTTCAAGTAAACATAATTGTACGACATATGTCATTTTCAATGAAAGTCGTAGGAAAAATACTTGAGGAATCTATTTCAAATACAAAATATAAAATAGTTTATTTAAAATACAAAATAGTATTTTGCATTTACGAAATCTACATGAAAATCAACGTCGTTTGATACCACATTTTCCTATACTATACCTAGCATCAAAGATTTTCAAGTTATTCAACATTTTTGACGTTTGACCCATGGCTCTGTTGACTTGAATTTCAAAAAGTCTTCCAAAATCAACAATACTGATGTGATGCTACATGCGAATGATTTAAATTTGAAACCTGCTTTATTTTTTTGCACTTTCAAATGTCGAAAAAATGTCTACATCTCTATACCTATCTGTAATGGTTTTCGTTTTATTTAAGATTTGTGACCGTTAGATGCATAATTTTCTTAGGAGACAAATCTTTTTATTGTTATAAAATTGTTATCATTCGTTCTTCATGGTAGTTTATACCACTGAGTATGAAAAAATTTTATTTACTTTAATGAATATAAATTTAAATAAAGATGAAATCAAAAACAGAAGCAGGCCATGATAACAAATGACAGAATAAAAAACAAACATCAATTGAGGTTTTGTTCTACGTGGTGACCGTTTTTTCCAACACATAGGTAATGGCATCCTCTGATTACTTAACTCCGTTGATAGTCGCCTGTCGAATTTCTACTCCATTTCATCAAAAGCTCTTCTCAATCTAACTTGCAGTCCTTCACGAGAAACAACTGATGTAAGTTTTTTTATAAGACCCCACACATAAAAGTCCAGTGGCGGTATATATATCTATATCTATCTAGAAGACCAATAGCGCGGATCTGTAGGCCTAATCCATCTGTCTTCAAAAATGTTCAAATACATATTTATAAGCATCATGTGTAGAATGAGCCGGGCGCTGCATCAAGTTCAGAAAATCTTAAATTAAAAAATCAACTTTTTAAGGTTCTAAGTTATTAAACATGACCATTAACTTTAAAACACCCTGTAGAAGGGCGATCAAAATTTAAATCATTCGCATGTAACATCACGTCAATATTGTTGATTTTGGAAGACTTTTTGAAATTCAAGCAACGGAGCCATTTCGATTTCGAAAATGCAATAAAATATAGGGTGTTCTATTTAAAATAAGAAAGTTGCTATCCACTTCCGGTTGTATTGTATGCTAATTTTCAGATTTAAATTATTAACGCAAGTCTAAATACTTATAGGTATCGATTTGCGTGAAATAGCCTGTATAGTCGGGTCTTGTTTTGCGAAAATCCAAATGCAAGAAGCATTAATGAAACAATTGAGTTAAAACCTTTGCTCCCCTAATTCGACCTCGTGATTTATACCTATAACTCGTAGGTGAAACTGCTCCAAAAAAATTGTTTTTTAATGTTTTTTTGTATGAATTTTTAGGAATAATTAATCATTTATTATGTTGAGGAATCTGAAAATATAGCACAACTAAATCCCAGACCACTGTTGAAAAATTTTATTAGCTTTACGGACTACTTTCAAAACTTAGAAGTTGATTCATCGGCGATATTTACACCCTTTCCGCTATAGTGTAAACCATTATTGTTTTTGAATTTACCGCAAAATTAAACAAGTAACACACTCACAAATTCGCTTCATTGCTTGTGTATTTATTGCACTTATGTCAGATGCTCTTTTGTGACACAAGCTATCAACTTCATCCCCTACGCAAATCCATTTAAATCGAGTTTTCTCTGGAACTACTGATCTAATTTGAAAAATAAAAACAGTTCTGAAAACAGGATGGACATTCCTTTCGAACTATCTAACATTTAGCACCCCTTCCCATTTAAAAATCAATCATAGTAACTGTAGAAATTTAAACAAAAACAAAAGAGTTTTTCAAATAATAATAATTGCACAAATGTTAAGAGTTTTTATTCGATGTAACGATAATACATAGGAAGCAAGTGGAATGAATTTAAATTTTCCTTAAGTTATAATAGTGATTTCTGTAACTGCTTTTCATCTGTTTTCGACGTTTCCTGTTGTAAATTTTTTGTTTAAATTTTCACAGCTACTGCGATTGGTTCTAAACTACTACTGTAGCTTTAATTTCTAAGGTAATTATAACATATTTGATATTGCAAAGAGAATTTTAGGCTCTTTAAAAATATTACAAATACAAAAAACAAATTTGTTTTCTGATGCTCTTTTGTTTTTATATCACTTGTTTTTTTTAACGCGACACGCAAAATCAATCACATTGTAAGTACGTAAAAAGCAGTAGGTATTTATGATCTTATTCTATTTACATCTGAAATAAAATTGCATTTCTAACCAGGGGCGGTCTGGCCCGGGGGGGCGGGGGGCGATTGCCACCTGGCCTGTACGTCATAATGGCCCGTTGGAAATTTATAAGTATGTGCTGTATTTAGTTTCTTGCACTATTAATAAATTATTAACATGTTTCTCTAATTGGGGTTGATGTTAGGTTGTTAAACAATTCTGTTTTAGTTGAAATGTTTTACAATGAATTTATCATTTATTGTCGTAGCATGAAAGTGCTGAAATACAATGATAGGCGACGCGCCTCGTTTGGATTGTATATTTTGTTACTTTTAATTATCAGCTGCAATTAAAAAAAAAAACGGTATTGTAATTGATTTCCGAAAAAGGAGTACTAAAATGAAGCAAAAAAATGTTTTTGTGGTGCACCGCAGAGCTACCCCCCACCCCCCATGCAATTCCACCTGGCCCGTAAGTACCCAGTCCGCCCCTGTTTGTAACCACGATTGTTACTTTATATTGCTAATTCCCTTTTAGCTTCCTTACGGTTAAATAAAATAACAACTTGGGCGTAATAAATGAAAGAAATTAACATCGATTTAATGAATAGTATCACGTGCGCAAACTTCTCAAATGAAAATTCATGCAAACGCTTTTAATTGAAGTAAATAAAAGTACTTATTTGAATTAAAATTATCCTTTATTAAAAAAATCACATAGATAAACCTAAGATAATATCTCATTATTCAATTTTGGGCACATGTCTCCAAAAATCATACCCAGAATTAATGCAGAGACGTCTTGGTTATCTGCAAATATAAAATTCGAACAGTATGTAAATTATTTGAACACTCTTAGGTAGCTAACTCTGTTTCTCCTTTTTCACCAAATTTCGTTATCCAAATGCATGCAAGCGGCAGGTTCATCATCGAGTAGTTTACAAGCGATGGTTAAAAAGTTGTCGTTGTACTCTTCCAATGTGTCATTATAGTAATTATTGTATAACACAGTCGGTACTCCGTCTATTGATGGTTGTACAGCATCCGTTTTCACCCCATTTGCTACCATTAGCTCGTCGCCCTCTTGGCCCTCTGCACATTTAATGATATCAGCCGTGTTCACGTTTAATAAGGGACCACACTAAAGGTACATAATACAATTAGGTCACGATATACGTCATAATTACTTTCTTAGTTATTCGCTTGTAATTGGAATCGTCAGTCTTAATTCCCTTTTCGATGCAATGCACAAACGAAATGACAGCATTTTGATCAACATTTCGTGCCATACCGCAGGCCTCTATTTTATTGTAGACGCATTCTTTGGGACCATGCTGACATTCTATAGTCCATCCGTTGTCGGTTTTTTTTCTCTGCAAGATATAACGATTGACATTATAGGTACTATTTGATGTGCGTATGCAGGTTTAGATTATTCGGGGTCCGTTAACTTGGCCCCCCCACTGAGAGATTTGATAGTCGTATTATTTTAAAATGAATTCGCTCGTTATGCGCTAATAAGCGCCACCGATAATAACTCTTGCGCCATTATCGTTTTTTAGAAATTCGAAAAAACATTTGGGGGGGCCAAGTGAACGTAGCCCCCCCCCCCGTATTTTGTCCCTTGTAACTAGGTCACCTGATACATTTGGTTATGCGCTCAATTGCGCCACTTGAATTAAAGCTAGCGCCATTACGGTTAAGCCGTGACAAATTTTCAAAAAGTGGGGGGGCCAACTTAACGTTTTTAAAAGTTACTTTTTTTTAACATCTTTTCATACGAAATTGTACTCTCAGGTATGCGCTGAAATGCGCCGTAAAAAGATATCTTTGCGCCATTATTGTTTTTTGGTTATCCTTAAATATATTTGGGGGGGGGCCAAGTGAACGGAATCCCCCATAACGCATTTTGCTACCGGTATTTGTGCCACTTGATACATCTGGTTATGAGCTCAATTGCGCCACTTGAATTAAAGCTAGCGCCATTACGGTTAAGCCATAAAAAATTTTTAAAAAGGGGGAGGGGCTAACTTAACGTTTTCAAAAGTTACGTTTTTTAACATGTTTTTTCTACTACGTCGTACTTTTCATCATGCGCTAAAATGCGCCGTAAACAAAAATCTTGGCGCCATTATAGTGTTTCAGAAACACTATACAGGGTGTTTTTTTGGGAGCTTTAGTTGAACGATTCTGAGAAAGTAAAATAGGTAGGTTTTTAAAAATTTGTATTTGGGAGTTACTCCGAAGGCCGAATCGATGTTAAATATTTTCAAAATGGACGCACTTCCGGAAATAACTTTTGAAAACGCTAAACGGCGTAGTTCAGTGCTCTTCCACTCAACCGAAGAATAGTTACTATAGTACAGGATTTTAAATGTATAGTTTTACAGGCAGTATGTTTAGGAATAATTAATGGTAGTATTGCATTGTTTCGTACAAAGGTGGTGTACGTAACATTAATAGAATTGGGTAAGGTATGACGGGTACAATTTAGTAAGTAAATATAGACATTAGGCATACAAGACAAATGACTATCGTTATCAGACGAACTTGATTTCTGTGCTCTCCAAAAAACTCAATTAAATCAATATTGGCATTTTGGGTTAGTGACCTTAGATAACCTTATTCTCGTACTCCCTTGATAACACTTACTCTGGCATTTCCGTATGGTATCAATTCCAAATCTAAATAATCCCCAAGTTTTTGGTAACCAGGATACAATTGGTCGTTTATAAATGTCATGCAAAAAGGGCATAACGTTTCATAGTACAAGGATACCTTCAGTTTTTGTTTTTCGAACTGCTGGCATAGAAAAATACGTAATTAGGTCCTACCATTACCTTTAATCTTACTCACCTTAGATGAACTACACTTAACCAATATAATGAGAGTTAAAAGTATTGTTATTAACGATAATTTCATCATCGTATTATTTACTTAGTTGCTTCTAATTTAGTATGCGTAATACTGATTCTCTTTCACAACTGGTGCTCCCACCAATTTTAGGATATCTACATACTATCTCTTTTGTAATTGCTTTTAATAAAGAACGGATGTTTACAAGACCTTCATATGATGGTGGATTACAGTTTTTAACAGACCAATTTTTTCGCTATGGCAGTCAGTGACGTTTTTTGTCTCACACGTACATTGTATGCCCTCGTACAACTGTACAAGATATTACTGATTCGCTTTTATGTTAGGTATAGGTAATAACCTACGCAATTTATTTGGATCGCTTGAAGGTGAAGGTTTAATTAACATACGGAATTTGCACAATAATTTTTTCACAATTAAAAAAAAATTGAATACTGCATCCGATTTTTTGTACACAGGGGGAAGGCTGAATCAGTTCGCGACAAAGACTATTATGTAGTAAAAGCGAATATATGTAAATTGTAGGTAGATGCATTACTGATAAATTCATATTATTTCTTAAATAATAACCTGATTCAAAGTTTTTCTTTTTTAATGGTGCATAAAAAATTTGCAACTGTACCATTCTTCTATAGACCCCTTATGATCAATTTATTCATTTATGAAACCAAAACGGAACAAAGTAAAAGACATAACTTAGGCGTTAGGTACATACAGTGAAACAGTCCTCCACTCTATCAATGAAGCTGTGTGCATGGAACAGAAAAGTATAAAATTATAAATTCTAAGCAGATAATAATTAAACACCGGGTTTAATGAATATTTTAGTGGAGGTTATCAACAATAATAACGTTTGTTTTTGTTCTTTGTGTAAATAACAGAAATATACCTACTTAATTAATTACTGAATTAAATTGAGGTTAAATTAAGTAAATATATTTTTTATTTTTGTATAGAGCAGATTATTAGATGGTTATGGGGATACCTAATTATTATAGATGTAGAGGGTGGTGACTTGCGTAACGCATCATAGGGATTTCAATGTAAAATTCATAACATGCGATTATTGGCCCCCCAAATTATTTTAGAGCAAAAATGTATTAAGGTTTTTTGTAGAAAAAAATTTTTTACGCCAATCAACCGTATTAGTTTCAATTTTTTGCATAAAAAAGACGGAAAATTGGAAAAATAAAACCCGCATCCTTTTCAATAATCTGCGATGCCATGGAATTTTCTAAAACAAAAAGATATCCAGTTGTCAATTAGCAGCAGATCGAAATGGATTTTATGATCGACTTGGTTACTGTCTTGCACTTAATGATGACTTATTCGAACATTTATTGTAAATTGTTATATTAGGAAACCGTTTTTAGTAATTTGGTCTTTTTTTATGTTGAATTCGCTGTTCTAAATATAATACTTTTTGATAGAATTTGATTTGTTTTATAGCAGACATTCCATGGCATGACGGATGTTGGCGTAGTTTTTGTATTGTAACATTCCATGGCATCACAGATTATTGAAAAAGATGCGGGTATTATTTTTCCAATTTTCCGTCTTTTTTATGCAAAAAATTGAAACCTAATACGGTTGATTGACGTAAAAATTTTTTTTCTACAAAAAAACCTTAATACATTTTTGCTCTAAAATAATTTGGGGAGCCAATAATTGCATGTTAAGAATTTTACATTGAAATCCCTGTGATGCGTTACGCAAATCCCCACCCTGTATTTGTATAGGTTGACTGTGCGTTGCTATCCAAAGAAACCATTCTGAACTTAGTGAACTAATGATAATGATTGTATAAAGCCACCATAAGTCGCGAGTTATACTAAATAGAAACTAGCAAAAACACCGCTTTCAATCATATTACTCAGTACCCTTCCTCCACGACGTCGCTAACTCAAAATCATAACACCGAGCTGACTATCTGAGTTAAATAATTCATGTTTTTAAGACTAATATACTCCGTTCCGTTCAATAGTTATTGTCCAAGTAGAAGGCCATTTTATACAAGATGATAATTTCCTGTCAATGTGCAAACCCTAGTTGCCAGATTTAGTTTTGGATTTTGTGGTAATTTTGTTATAGGTTAATACGTATAAATTTCATGAGAAACAACTTGCTCAATACGTTTCATACTTTATTGAGTAGGCAAATGGCTCTAATGAACATTATTAATTTCAAAAGGCTGTTATATATTTACAATTATATGCTTAGTAATAGCTAGATACCTAACTGCGCTTGAGTGTAGTTCTTGCTTCTACGGTGCCACTGGAATGTTCTTCATTGGGTCTTTTGTTTTCCGACTGTGCTGTTTGATGATTAGTTATTTCTGTTCATCTTATTTACGGCGGGTAGCTTCCTATTCTTTGGGGAACCTTTTAGTCTTAGAGCAGCTGCCTGATGGAAGGGGTCGGTTAAGTTCCCCCCCCCCCCCAGTTCCCCCCCCCCCCCATTAAACATTTCGTTATGATATTACCATGTAATAATGCGCTCGATATGCGCTCAAACGCGCCGCTGAAAGTAATTTTTGCGCTGTTAAAGTTTTTGAGATATTTTGAAAAACATTTGGGGGGGTTCAAGTTCAAGCAGCCCCCCCCCCATTATGCAATTTGGTATATCTGATGATTCCAAATTGTGCCTGTAGTTATGCGCTAAACTGCGCCACTGGATTAACATTTTGCGCCACTACCGTATGACCATAACGAAAGACAGAAGGTGGGTGGGGCTAAATTGATGGTTTTAAAAAAGTGCACTTTCTTAAACATTCTTAGTGCTATATGTTCCCGTTTAGTTATGCGCTCAAATGCGCCGCTGAAAGTAACTTTTGCGCTGTTATAGTTTTTGAGATAAAACATTTGGGAGGGTTCAAGTTCACGCAGCCCCCCCCCCACCCCATTACGCAATTTGGTATATCTGATGGTTTTGTTGTTTACTATACGTTATTCATCACTGCATCAAATTCAAATTCCGACAACGGCGGCACCTTACATGTGCTAATCACGAAGTGTTTAATTTATGGAGCGACAACAATGGAACGTTTGCATTTACCTCTTACCTTACCTGCTTTACTTTAATCCCTATCTTCTTCCTGTTAGTCACGTCCAGTAAAGTACTGGCATTTTTACTTTCAGGCGCCGCATGCTAATCTTGAGTATGATCAAAGAGTACCATAGCACCTACTCTTTGGTATGATTTATGAATAGCTATACCATATACCTATGGGCCGCTATAGTGAATTATGTCATAAGGTTATAAGGTAATAGTGTGCGTATTACAGGTGAGTAATCGATGCAGAGTGCCAGAATTCTACGTAGGTACCCGTAATACGCAAATTACAACCAAATTACGTAGGTACATTACTTTTACCAATTACCTCCATGAATTTCGAAATCAAAATAAGGCAAAACCGAAAACGACAATTGTGATAACATTAATGATAATTTTTCAAGGTCGTTATGAAGCCCTTTGTGCCGCAATGCTGCACATGAACGTTTGGATTTTGAATTATGCAAATTACTTCCAATACTGCGAATGCAGTATATCAAAATAGAAGATAGTTTTTTTATACCGATGGTGTAGAAAAAATTGTTTAGAAATGCAAATAAAACCTAAATACTAAGTGTGAAATAGAAAATCGTATGTTTATGGTTTAGTAGGAAAATATTTTTTTCTTGGTCCGACGGCATAATTAAAGCAAACGTTTTTTAATCGTTCAACGTGCACCCAGTTGGCATCGTTGGCTGCGTGATGAACTCCCCCCCCCCTCAATGTTTTTCAAAATCTCTCAAAAACTTAAACGGCGCAAAGGTTACTTTCAGCGGCGCATTTGAGCGCATAACTAAAGGGAACATATAGCACTAAGAATGTTTAAGAAAGTGCACTTTTTTAAAACCATCAATTTAGTCCCACCCACCTTCTGTCTTTCGTTATGGCCATACGGTAGTGGCGCAAAATGTTAATCCAGTGGCGCAGTTTAGCGCATAACTACAGGCATAAGTTGGCATCACCAGTAATACCAAATTGCATAATGGGGGGGGCTGCGTGAACTTGAACCCCCCCAAATGTTTTTCAAAATATCTCAAAAACTTTAACAGCGCAAAAATTACTTTCAGCGGCGCGTTTGAGCGCATATCGAGCGCATTATTACATGGTAATATCATAACGAAATGTTTAATGGGGGGGGCCAACTTAACCGACCCTGATGGAAGTAATTGATTAACCACCCAAAGGGCTGTAACTTTTGAACTAGTAGCCCAATCTTGGAACTGTTTGAAATTATGGATTCTACAGGCCACATTCTATAAGAAAATTTTTTTCCGTGTCGATCTGAGACAATTTTTTTTTCGGGGCTCAAAAAAAGGCAGTGTATAACCTTCCTTTTTTACCAAAAATCGACTACACCAAAATTTCTCGGGAAAACACTTTTTCTTATTAATTTGGGTGCGTAGAATCCAAATCAATTCGTACTTTTTCGATCAGACTTCTCAATCAAAAGTTATAGACTAGAAACCAATTTCGAAAAAAAATTCAAAGGGCTGTAACTTTTGAACTAGTAGCCCAATCTTGGAACTGTTTGAAATTATGGATTCTGTCTCGTTACTATTTGAAGTTTGTAATAGATTACACCCTTCCAAAAATCCAAAACGAGACCCCGCATGCAAAACAGTAAAACGCTCCCTTCTGATTTAATTTTAGACGGATTACTTTTAATTTCAGAATCGTGTACCCATTTTCGGACCCTGGATCCATTTTGAAAAATCCAAGTTTTGTCCAGATACACGAATGTTATATTTTCACTTGAATTTTGGTATTGCAAGAATTTCCTCAAAAATGTAATTTTGGATGCAACAACATATTTTTGTTTTTTTTTGAGTTGGATCCATCGTTCCTCGAAATGGGGGTTGAAATATATTATGTTATCAAAAATCTCTAAACCTTCCCCATATAGTTTTATTCGTTGAACTTCAACGAATAAAACTATATGGGGAAGGTTTAGAGATTTTTGATAACATAATAAAACATATTTTTGTTCACAGAGAATTTTACGTCCATTTACGTGTTTGTATTTATAACCCATTGATTTTAGAATGTTGTATAAGGTAGTTTTCCCCTTATCAAAATCA